GTCCTCGTGACCGTTTCGCTAGCTCCACGTATAATAAATTTAGCATCACGTGACGTGACTAGATGACGAAGCTAAACGACACATCCCAAGATGGTAATCATGACACCGAAGTCATGTACGGCATATTTACCTCCACCTCGTAACGTTGTGCTGATTTTAAAGTGTAATATCAAAATTTATCATTCATGCTTCGCATATCATTGATTCCCACTGTACGTGGGATCTTCCATTTTTCCCTAGTGTGTGTGTGTGTGTGTGTGTGTGTGTGTGTGTGTGTGTGTGTGTGTGTGTGTGTGTGTGTGTGTGTGTGTGTGTGTGTGTGCTTTTTCCGTCCCCTATATGTAAAAATAACTAAAAGGAAAAAGGGGGGTAGCCCGTACCACCAGGAGGTATAACGGGCTCAAGCCAATCTAACATAAATGAAGAGGGGAAACTTCCCAAATTTTTATTTTTATTTGAAAAAGCCAATTAGTTAAAAAATAACATGGGTAAAGCCTAGTGAGTGCAGCATGAAACTGTAATAAATAAACTAGTTAGCTTCTCAGGAATGAGCAGGTCGATATGCAGCAGCAGTGTATTTCCCCACTTGAGTTTTTGGAGTTCGTGTGTGTGTGTGTGTGCGTGTGTGTGTGTTGCGTGGGTAGTGTGTGTGTGTGTGTGCGTGTGTGTGTGTGTTGCATGGGTAGTGTGTGTGTTTGTGTGTGTGTGTGTGTGTGTGTTTATTTTAAATGCATTGTCGTTGAATGCAGAAAGTCCAAAAACAAACAACGAAGTGGGATGCGAGCCAGTGGTCTTGAGGATGGGTAAACGTTGATGAGGATGGTAGCAGTGGCCTCTGTGATGTCGAAGCCCATTTCTTCACCAGGAGTCATGTAGCCAGGCACGTCGGGCTGTCGTTCAAACCAGCGATGCAGCAGGGAACCTTGGGCAGCCTGTCTGCCGCTGCGAACTTAGACAAGGCGCCATTCGCAATAGTAACAAGCCCAAAAAAAAAAGGGGGGGGGGGGGCAGGATTAGGTACTTGCGCAAGCGTTGCGAATCCTATGGTTCGAGTACTTAGGGAAAATGGAGCAGTGATGCTATCGTTATCAGTCGCCGAGGTTTTCCCCCACCTTTGTTGGCATAACTGCGACTGTAATCGAGAGCACTCACGCAAAAGTTGTGATAGGGAGGTGATTCAGAGTATGAAGCGACGTCCTGATAAAGTGTTGGTAGCTAATACGTGTCATGTGGATGTCATAGAAACAGAGTTGCGCATGACAGTCACTAACTGAAGTAGATACGCGCGAGATTTTCTATTGGTCAATAGCCCATAATAATGTGCAGGTAGTGTTGTATCACTTTTGGGCACACGTAAATGGGTCACAATGTGTTGCGTGTTCGGGCATTCACTAAAGTAGTGTTGTTCGCTCAAGCAAGGTGCACCGCACATACACCTGTCCGATGCAGTTATATTGAATCGATGAAGATAATACTGAAAGTGTCCATGACCAGATAATAAGTGTGTTAGGTTTTTAGGAGGCGGGAACCATTGAGGAATTTTGTACGGACTTGTGATCCAATGAAATAGCGTTGTCTCAGGTCCCTCAGTCTGCCAATGGGTGTGCCAATATGAATTCAAGATTTTATGAAACTGAGTTCGTACTGACCAAATAGATATTTTGGCGTAACGCACGAAGCCTGATTTCCCTCCTAATGCAGCTGCAGCGTCAGCTAGCTAATTTCCCGAAATTCCCATATGGCCAGGTACATGAAACATTTTTATAATTTTGCCTGACGAGATTATATGGTTAAGAAGCAGCTTAATGTTCCGAATTCTTTCATCGTTATCAGTGAGACTTGAAAGCTTCATTAGAAGCGATAGACAGTCTGTGTAAATGTGGGCTGGCGTGTTAAAGTTGTTTGTAAAAACGAAATGAAGGGCTTCTTGGAATGCTATTAATTCCGTGTCGTATGCGCTTGAAGCGTTGCAGATCTGAAATTTTCTAACAGTTATGATTTTTCCATCCTTTGTCAAAGCAATATATGCCGCACCCGCCGCGTAGGACGTGTATGAGCCGTCAGTGTATACGTGAATGGCTTTTGTTTTGAAAATAACCGCTTCTTGTGATGGTGAAAGCTTAGTGAAAGTAAATTTATATTTTTTGCTGGGGTGATGAGCCCACGGACTGCATGGATATAGTATGTCAGCCGGTTTGAATGTTTTACACCATAATAAGTTACGTTCCAGAGTATAAATAAGGAAAATTCTGCAGATTGTCTGTCCAACTCTAGTGGTAACGGAGGCGCGTTAGCGAGAATCTGTAGGGATGACGTACGTGTGGTGTAAAATGCACCTGTTAAGGAAATTAAGACGGTTCGCTGAACTGATAAAACTCGCGCCCTAATGAATTTTGATGGGAACATAGGCCACCATACCGGAGATGCATACGTGAGAGAGGGCAATATCACTTGACGGTAGAGTCGTCTAATGAGTGTACTTTTTAATGAACGGTGCGATTTAACAAATGCGAGTAGCCGGGACGTGGACACTTCAGCCTTTCCTTTAATATAGTCAATGTGGGCATGAAAATTTAAAGAGGGGTCAAATAATACGCTTAGAATCTTAATTTCTTTCTTGTGTTTGAGAAAAATGCCATCCATGCGGATAGATGGGCAGCGTTTTGATGTACCCATGTGTCCGTTATTAAAGAACACGAAGAACGACTTCTCGGCGCTTACGGTAACTTTTTGTTCTCGTGCCCAACCAGATATCAAAGCCAGGACATGCTCAGCCTTTGCTTGTAATCGGAGTCTTGACTTATCTGTGATAACAATGATGGTATCATCCGCGTACGCCTGTATGTGTACGTCGGGTGGCACGGGAAGATTGAGTAAGCTATATATTACTATGTTCCACAGTAGCGGGCTGATAGGGGATCCTTGCGGGCTGCCAATCGTTGTACGAACTGTCTCTTCTGCAACGTTGGTTGAAAAAGTTACAGTGCGGTTTGATAAAAAGGATTTGAGTAGAAAGTACAAGTTTTGTGGACACCTGTGCTTGCGTAAAAAGTTCAAGACTGCAGGATGCCAAACACTATCGAATGCTCCTACAAAATCAAGAGATATGAGTATGGTAGGAAGTTTGGCTGCCTTGTATGCAGCCAATTTGCTTCGCAGTGTGTATAGTGCTAAAGTAGCACTTTTATTGTGCGTAAAACCGTATTGATTATTGTGAAGAAGATTATTATTGTGCAGGAAATAATACAGACGAGAATTTAAGAGTCTTTCTAATACTTTACTGAATACAGAGTTCATAACTATTGGTCTATATGCATTAGGCGAATTGAGCGGACGTCCTGGCTTTGGTATGAATATTACTTTCCCTCTTCTCCAAGCCTGTGGGAAGTGTCCGATTCTTAAGGCGGTATTGAAGATAAAATAGAAAAATTGAGGATGGTATTCAAATAATCCTTTAATGAACGAGTAGGTTAATCCGTCGTGTCCAGGAGCAGAGTGTGAGTTACCCTGTTTCATCGCGCACTCTATCTCAGATATTGTAAAAGGAGGATCAAAAGTATGCCACGGGTAAGGACTAGCCGCAATGTTACGCATGATAGTGTGGTGCATGTTATCTTCAGAACAGCTGTCCACTACTATCAATGTGTCGAGTAGTAGCCGGGCGGACTCCATTACAGAAGCTGTGCGAGTGCCGTTAGGTAAATCTAGAGGAGGAAGAAAAGTTACTTGGTGGTGTTTTTGAAATGCGGTTTTGAAAACATCACCATATAAACATTTCTTAGTGAGAAAGTCACAAATGTATTTATCAAACGATGATTTTGCTTTCCTGATTTTGTCCTTGTAGGCTGAGAATGCATCAACGTACAATTTGCGATACATGTCTCGAAGAACGGGGTCAGAACTGTTCGCTGGTATCGTCGTCGCATAGCCCGAACACGCTTACGGTCAATAGTCAATTCTGGTGTCCACCAACCATTACCTAAATTACTACGCGATGTTATGCGTCTTGAGTAACGTCGGCTTAAAGCAGAGTATATCGCATAAAACTTGTCTATAACCATGTTTATGGCTTCAGGTGACCCAATGTTGCAGCCGATTATCTTTGTGAACCAAGTATCGTCCTTTAATTTGTTAAGAATTTTCGTTCTTCCTAGATTAGTCAATCGTTTAGCACTGCTGGTATGTGCTTGTGAGAACGAGAATTCAATGTAGTTGTGGTCCGAGAGAGTAGGAATTTGGAGAACCTTCCAATGGTAAGCATCGCGAGTGAGGTCATGCGAAACCATGGTTAAATCTATCCATGAATCTGCATACGGAGTTGTGAAAGTTGGAGGGGAGTTGGGGTTGTTCAATATGACTAAGTCATTCGCCGTCACGAATTGGACTACTTGAGAGCCTCGAACATCCCCTATAGCTGGCCCCCACATTCTATGCTTAGAATTGAAATCTCCGGCTATGATGACAGTACAATCTGTAATCAATGAAACTACACATTGCAACTCATCCAGAACTGGGTCAATAGGTCTTTGCGGCGGTGCATACACAGCAATCAGTATTAATGTTTGGTCAAGGCTTTCACACTTTACTGCAACAATCAAATCTGTTACGTGTAAAGGGAAAAAGTCAAAATTAGTGTTGTGCACTAGAAGCATGACGCGAGGATTGTTTGGTGCGTGGAACTTTGTTATGGTGTGTGGTATGCCTTGAACAGTGCCTGCGCGGATGTGCGGGTCACACACGAAGGCGAAATTGAAGTGTTGTTGCGTCATGTGTTCTATCATGTGTGCGTGTGTGTGTGTGTGCGTGTGCGTGTGTGTGTGTGTGTGTGTGTGTGTGTGTGTGTGTGTGTGTGTGTGTGTGTGTGTGTGTGTCAGCCGCATCCCGCCGCTGAGGATTTCATACGTACTCGTAAGTAGCATTTTCTTTCCCGATGCATTGCCAGTTTTTTTCTCTTGACAAAAATCAGTTTTATCTGCGCAACTAATGTGTCAATTCGGTAGTCTCTTCCAGCTGATGGAAAAAAATGGTTCAGGTGAACGGCGGTTGTATCAGTCGTCGTTGATTGTTCATGGGTACATATACGCATTTTGTATTTTTTGTTCATTTGTTTATATTGAAAGAGCAGGACAAATATTGTTTTTTTTTTTTACCTTCAGGTATCACTGCAACAAGCACTGCAAAATGTGGGGATAACGTTATGCACTGATCTCACCGCACGGAAAGGATGTCTGGTAAGATGCAAGCTTGGTTGCAGAAGTACTATGCAATTTTTTCACGCTACATTAGGTCGCAAACAGGCTGTAAACGCCGACTGAAAACTATCGGCCTGGCCCGCCTTGGAGGTCAGATGTGTTGTCCTTAATTTATTTGTTGTACTCTTTGTTTTTTAGCGACATACTACTTGAAAACTGTGAACACTGGGGCTTCAAGCACGTTTCCGAATCTCAACGCACTAACATAATTACTGTAAGTGCACATTTTTTTTATTTGTGTATATACCCACAAAAATGTTTTGCCGAATTTCACGAATAGAGCTTATAAACGCATGCGACTGTAAATAGTTTGCCTTTCTCAAAGTACTAATCGTTCTGTTTGTTCTTTTCAGCTCTTCCCAGCAATTAACATAACGATACAAGCGTCACATCTTGGTGGTAAAACGTCGCACACCAAACACGTATTGATGGACAAGAGCACGAAAATTGACCAAAAGACAGAACTGATCTAGCAGAAATAACACTCCATCGATTATATAGTTGAGTTGTACAAGGCCTGCTGCAAATCGTTCCATGCGAACAATGTTGCATGAAAACCTAGTGCATTTATACAGCTGCGGAATAAACATATAAAGTGGAAAAACTTACGTTCGTCTTTCTTTTATTGTGCGTTACGTACGTACACGCTAACAAGTGCATACTTTAGAAACATTTATTTCGTCTTACATGTGTAGTTAGCCACTGTAATGTGCACAAAATACAAAAATATGCTGAGCAAGGAACGTTGGCGACGAACCTGCAGCCGACGGTAAATCGACGCTTATGTAAGGTCAGGCCATGGTAAACCCGCGTGCGGCACGCACTCGGGCTCGTCGGTCAACTCGGTCGGGCCTACGTTGTGTTGCAACATCGGCTGTCGTGAGGTCAATGCAATCTTCAAGACCGGCCTTACGTTGGTTGCCAAGGTTAGTCCAAGCACTTCGCAGTCAGTTACAGACCACTCGCCGACCTCTTGCCGAAGACAAATAGATGCTTGGGTCGGCGTTAGCGCTGCCACTTTTCCTGAAAAAAAAACCGGCCCGTCAGCGGGGTGTCATGAAGTTGAGGTTGCGTGGAAAAATAAACAAAGTCCATGTTAAATCTTCGACATGCGATGACATTTATTTTATTCGCCTTCAACATCAACATAATATGTCCACTAACAAACAAACACAGCACTGAGTGAATCAATTAACCTCTGGTGGCAAGCGCACAAATATCATCAGTCTTACAATGTTTGTACTCAAAACGAGCGTTAAAGTATTACGTATGCTGAACAAAATCTTTGCCCCCGAGGTTTTCAGCCAAACTAAAAAATTGTGTGCTGAATTTGTAGACATAACCTTTATTTCAGACAGAAACATGCAGAAAATGATGAACTTATAGCATTGTTCACTAACCGCCGCGCCTTGAACTATAGCGTGCCTTCCACTTCCTCGAACGGCCGTGCCTGGAACAGGCGTGCCAACAACGCCATTCCGGTCAACCGGGTCTCTCAACCCGCTCAGCCCGCCCTACGAGCGGCACCTGCAGCGAAAAATGTTCCCAAGTTGGATAAAGCCCCGAAAGAAGGCGTAACATCTCCGTTTTTGTGGAAGGGGGAGAGTGGATTATAAAGGAGAGGTAGAAACAGGGAGGTAATGGACACGAACGCGTGCACCTTTCAACCGGGGTGCTTGCGCTGGCGTACAGCCGCCGCACGCAAACAAAAATACGGCCAACTGTTCAAAAGTCTGTTTATCGGAATAGCCGAGTCTTCCGAGTAGAATTTCGACGTTTTCGTCATTTTTTTCTGAGCTGTTCAGTGCTACTTTAAAAAGTATACAATGCATGCATAGCTACACATGCAATAATGAGCAGTGCACTTACAACGCATAAAACATGTCTCATTACATGTCTCCTTCCGAGACATGTAATGATATTATTTACAACTCTTTATTTTCTTCAAGAGTTAACTATTGCCATCTATTTTGGGCATCCACTAGTCAAGAAAACATACAAAAATTGTATTGTCTACGAAAAAGATTTCTACGTGCTGTAGAGGACGTGCCTTCACATTTTCACACCTACCCGTTGTTTGAAAAGTATAATGTAATGCCTTTTGAGAAGATGTACAACTTTAGATTGGCGAAAGCCTATAAACAAGAATTAAAGGGGAAACATGTATTCTTGACTGAACTTGCCAACCTTAAAAGAAATTGTCAGCCTTATAAAACGCGAAACTGCGAAATTTGGACTGTTAAAACTTGTAGAACAACATATGGGCGACATACGTTAGGAAACAGACTTCCGAGGCTACTAAATGCTTTATACGAATTTAAATTTCAGCAGGGAAAGCAACACTTTCAATGCAATACGTTCCTTTCTTGCAAATAATTACATTTACACTATATAATATCTCGCGCATGCCTATGAGTGTCAACTATAGAGAATATGTTGGCGTACGCTAGGCATGGCGATTTGTAACCACCTCATATTTTTCTGATATTTCTTTCGGTCGTGTATTGAATGATTTGTGCAATTATATATCTATAGTGTACTCTATGTAAATTACAAAGTTATGTTAATCTGTATGCATGTATTATGAAGGTAATCTATATGTACTGAGCTATTTAGTACATCCGTTGGTGTATATTTTTCTTTTGTGTATGGTTTGTACGCAAGACGTGGTTATTTGTAGTGGGCTCACATTTTCCTTCGGGTCCTGTACTAAGTGGTTTATCTGTTCAGTACATTTTCTTTATGTACTGAGAACACTTTTGTACTCTGGTGCCAAAACGGGGGCCGGCAGCTTCGTCAAGCTATCCTTGCGATGGCTTTTTCTGCCGGCCTCCGGCATTGTGTACTATGTGTGTGTACTATGTACATGATGTCAATAAAGTTCACTGTTCACTGTTCACTGTTCAAAAATATATAGAGAAATCATATGTGCTCGCCTTCTCCTATTCGCGGAACATGAATATGTACTTAGTATTTGACTTAGCGGATCGGATGAGCTTCTTGTGTGCTCTCGACATCTTTATAAATTCTTCACAGCTATACAAAATATTCTACCGTACACTAAGTTCTGCTTTAATCATTGACACGCTTAGCTGGTTTCTTTCATACGTCCACAAGTTTCCCATTACGCTGAAGATGCGTTTCACGAACGCATTGCTGCAGGGAATGGAGTACACATGCTCCATTAGCTTCTGCAAGAAGGGGCACTTAACCTATTTTAAAAACTTCAGCCACACCGAGCTTGATTTCTCGTCCTAATTTACAAGTCCAGGCAGAGCATCCTTCAAAAGACAAAGCTCTGAGTAGAGTTCGTCTCCTTCCGCTTGAAAATCATTGCCAAAAAGGTTGCTCGCATTTATTACCATTAATAAAGTGGGTTCACCTTTGCGCAGATCTAATGCGGCGAGCATCTTAAACAGAGTCCTCGATGTTGAACCACTTTTTGAGGTACGCAAGGGCCCTGTCATAGACATTCACAAAGTCCAGCTTTGCAACTTATCTACAAGGAAATATTTCAAGTCCCAGATTAGGCTTGACACCGAAGAATATATCATCCGTTCGATTGGTCAGCTGTTTCCTGAGCTTAGTCATTATAGCGTAAAGTTCTGTCAGCTCAAGGTGGCTCTTTCCGAGGGTGAGGATTGCTGAATGTAACATTGCAAGGAACGAGTGCATGAAGTATATGTAGCACTCCAGAAGCGTGACACTCTCTAAAAGTCCTTCGGCTTGGTGGCCTATAAATCTCCAGATTATTTTTTCGCACTCCTCCTTTCCTTGACTCAGAAAGTATGTCCAGTTCTTAATTAATCTGTCTAAGGCTGTAAACATGCTTAACCAGCGGACCGAAATATGACACAGAACTTCGCTATATTCCTGATCACAAAACTAAAAGAAAGTTTTCAATTCATCTGCACATTTCGAGCAAGAAGAAAATTCTTTGACTAACTTTAGTACAAGAGTTTCAACGTCCAACTTTTAAAACTTGATTGCGTGCTTCTCAGTGTTACGCACAACATGGCAATTGCAATTGGTCTTCAACAAAATCAGCTGATCTTTCTGCATCTTTGGAAAACTGAGTTAAGTTTCGCATAATTCACAGAAGCATCATCCGCGCTATACGCTACAGCTCGCTCCAAAGAAAGGCCTACCTCCTTTGTTGCCTAAGTTCGCAGATGCCACCGTAGGTTCCGTCCGCCGGCTCACAAAAGTCGATGAAAGCATCAGTTATTTCGGCACCACTCGCATCGTAGAAACGCACTGCAATACGGAAAGGTTTTCCGTTTTCCTTGTTGGAAGCGTCAGTGTAGAGAGTGAATGGAAGGTTGCGGCCTGCTGGACGACGTTTTTTGACTATGCACTCCACCGCGGAAGGTACCAGTACATCTCTCACGAGTTGTTCCATCTTTGTTCTTCCGAGTCGCATTCTGGAAGCAATGTCTGAATCCGAGAAGACTTTCGGTGCCAACTTACTGCCACGGTTCATTGACAGGTAACTGTAGTTGTGCTTAATTCCTTGGAATATGGTGCTCAGTTCCGCAGCAGTCTAGTTATCTTCTGCGCTAGAAATGGCTAGAACAAAGAACGTTTGGCTGTAGCCGACTGTTTCGAGGCGAGGTTCTTCTGTTTATGTTTCTGCGTTGATGTATGATGCTTCACAGCGCTGATGCCATCAAATTTAACCGTAAATGTGCTTGCACATATGGCGCACATCGCGGCTGTGGCATCGTCTTCTACGGGCAGGAGCCAGCTCTTCTATTCGGGTGGAGATCTTCACTCTTTCCGGAACGTGCACTGACGTATTTTTCGCTTTTTCAAAGGCGGAGGATCGGTGCTCATGATGCAAGCAAAGGAAGCACGTAACTAACTACTGATATTTATTTCCGCTCCGTTTAAACGATTGGTGGGCTTGAAAGGTTCTTGCTTCGAGCTTTTATGGGTACGTGGTAAAACGTGGTTTTCTTCAGTCCTATCGGGAGCACGGCACAGTGTCGTGGAGAGGGTGAAAGAGGATTGATTGAGGATGAGTGCAAGGCTTGCCATGACTTTTCGCAAGCCCTGGTAGGAGAGGGAGGGCGATGTCACCGTAGAGCAGTTGGTGTTTCCTGTTGCTGCTGAATTTGCCAGGATTTGAGGAGGAGCCACCGGCGAGGGTTTCTTTCTCTTGCCAGAATTATCGCGTCGTCGGGACGCATATGGTGGTCAATCCGCTCGCAGTGTTCTGCTACTGCGCTCCGTCCTCTATTCAACTGGCGGAGGTTATTCTTGTGCTGCCGCATTCTTTCGTGGAAGTTCTTGGCTTCTCCAATGTAGGAAATAGGGCAGTTGGCGCGATCCGGTACATGACGCCGTGAGTTTTTTCCGTAGGTGCGCGATCTTTAGACCAAGGGATGAAGCTGCCGATGGTGATGGATTGTGTAGAGGGCACTGCCAGTGTTCCTTGTAGCATGGGGCCACAAGGAGGCACTGGTGTCTACTGAGTGTATATATGGGATTTAGAGAGAGGGAGTAAAGTTGTTTTGGTTTCCGCTTGCCAGCTGTCCGCCTCGTTTCTTGGCTCCCGGGCTGAACATGGTGTAAGAAGCGGGATCACGCCATTAACCCAACATGCCTAACGACGTGGTATCGACCCCCGCCGAAGCCAAAGTTAACAACGTTCGGGTGGGCATATCTGGCCTGCGTCCTCCAGCAAACTTCACTTTTTCTAACCATGAAAAATGGCCCACGTGGATTGCAACGTTCCAAGACTACGCCTTCGTGGCCGGCCTGCACAATACCATTGATGGGGCCTGAGTACGGACACTTCTTTACTGTATGGGATCGCAAACCAGATCCATTCTTTTGTCGTTTGGGTATAGGCACAGGAGACTCTTCGTTCACACCTGTCAAAAAAAACTTGTATTCGCACTTTGTGCTCCCTGTGAATGAGATATACAAAAGTCGCCGTTTTCACCGCCGCATTCAGCAGCCAGGCGAATCTGTAGATGACTTTTTCACGACGTTACGTAACCTGGTGAAGCGCTGCAGCTACAGCAGCTCGCTTGTCGAGGACGATCTTGTTCATGAAAGAGTTGTCGTGAGCATAAGTGACGAGAGACTGTCTGAACAATTTTGCCACTGCAAAAAACTTACCGCCGAAGAAGCGCTGTACCAATCCCGAATTCATGAAGACGCAGAGAAAGCTATTATCCCGCCAAAGATTGACTGCGCATAACGCCCTTGCTGGAATGCTGAACATCAATTTGGCTCGTTGAAATGATGCGTCCACCCCTTCATCCCGTTCTCGCTATCAGTCTGAACACTTGGCTGCGCTATCATGCCGCTTTTGTGGGCGTCAGCGACACCCTCGCAAAGACTGCCCGGCCCGAAAAATTGGTGTGTGTAACGAGCTGTATGGAGAGACAAAGCTCTAGACGAGACGCTCGTGTTTCTGTACGGAAACCTGCGATGACTCAATCGTCATCGGGCAGTAACGAGGCAGTTTATGCAATCACACAAAAAAATGAATTTTCAAAAGACACGAAATGTCTAATAATAAATGAAGTAAGGGAAAAAATATGACATGCTTGGAATACCGGTGTGATAGTTACAAGGGCATAAAAACAGAAAGAGTTCACCGGAGAGGAAGGTGGTGGTCAAGTCCCGGCGGCAAACTCAACGCTGGGAAGGAACGGCCGACGCTAGGGTAGCCTGGTAAGTCCAATGACGGCCGCGGCCGAGAACGCGGCTCACTGCGGAGGTCGTTGACCTGGAGCACGCATGGCGTTTGCCGTGCCTATCTCGAACGCTGGCTGGCGCTTGCTGCTGTAGGTGCCGGACTCGCCTGGCGGAAACGTCCTGGCGACGTTTCGCCCACGCCAGGCCCGAACTGCAAGGACGGCTGGTATGGCCCCAGGTGGGAGCCCGCTGAGACCTCGAGTCCGCAACCCGACGGATCACTGCTCCCACGCCCTGGTTCTTCAACCTTGCTTGTTGTTGTTGTTGTTTCCCTGTGCAAATGGCTCGTACCCAAAAAAGGGGATCGGCCGATTATAAGTTGAATTTGCCCCTAAACTTTCAGCATTGCGTCATTCCTACAATTTTTTTTTTGTAACTTAATTTTGATTTGAAACACCGATGTCAAGTTTGCAGAAAAGAAAGAAGAAAAGTAGTGAGACAGCAATTTAGCAAGAAAATCGTTTAGTCGCAGTGATGTATTCTTGAACGGCGAATAAAACATCCCTGTGGCAGAAACCCAGTGTAGAGGCTCCAAATGAAAGAAGATCAGGTTGTGATAGTTGCAAGCCCAGTCTTTGAAGAGGTAGTGCTAGTATGCTTTGCCTGAATAAATCGAAACGGCGACAATGTAATAAAAAATGACTGATCGTTTCCTCTTGATTACAGTAAATGCACGTAGGGGAATTCAATATGCCTGATCTATGCAAGTAAAAATTGAGGGAGGTAACGCGGCAATGAAATTTCGTGATGACAACTTCCATCATCCTTGAATTAGTCAGTTCACTGCGCCAGGGAAATAACAAGTGTTTGTACTCTGGAGAAGTCGTCAGTGCAGGGTCAGATAAATTTTGCCTGATTTTAAGTGTGCGAAATCGCGCCATTGTAATGTATACTGTATGAGGGAAAATAGGAATAATTGGTGTCGAAAGGGATGCCTTCGCAAGAGAATCAGCTATTTCGTTTAACAACAAACCTTTGTGCCCTGGTGTCCAGATTAAATGAATACTTCGGAGATTACAGGGGATCAACGATTTAAAAAGTTTCACTATAGGTGAGTGACCAGATGCGGACAGAGAAGAGCACACTGATAATGAATCAGTTATGATTGCTACGACTGGAATGGAAATATTTACCTTTCGCAAAGCTAACATTATTGCCATGAATTCAGCCAGAAAGACAGGAAGAAAATCCGGTAAGCGAAGTGAAAATGACCAATCAAGTACGGGGCAATATATTCCAACGCCTGATTTTTTATATGATTGAGATGCGTCCGTTGCTATAATGACATTTGTTGGCAGAGTACTTAAATGGTCCTGCAATAAACCATTTAAAATGCCTGTAGGTAATAGCTTAGCGTGAGTTGGAAAGATATCATGGTAAACAATTTCTGGAGAATTTTGTTGCTCAGTTAAAGAAATCAGATCACAAACGTGTACATTTAGGGGCTCAAGTAACGATTGAACAAATACTATTTGTGGTTTGGTAAATCTGGGCCAATGCACGGAGAAGAATAGGTCAGGATTGGAAATAAAAATAATTTGTTCAGGGTTAAACAGTGCTTCATATAGTCGTAAAAAGGTCTGCACAGTAAGGATGTTAAAGCGACATAATAAGGTTGGTATTCGTGCTTCAAGGTATAACACTGCATTTGCAGTATACTTTGGAAGTCCTAAGCAGAGCTTCTTCTTTCCAGCCACCTCTGCCTCACTCCTTCTTTTTCGCACCACCCCTCTACCCTGATTTTCCTGCGTCGTCTTCTTCGACTGTCTCTGTGGCGCGCACTTCAAACACAATTCTATCTTCCCGATCACGCACGGCCACTTCACTCATCACAGTGTGCCACCATTAAAGAAGGGTAGGGCATTTTGCCAAAGTTTCTATGAAGAACAGAAACGACCTGCTCGGATCTATCGAACTTCACAACGTGAATTCACGCCAAGTAAGGTACGCGGAAATACTTGTTGACAGGAACCCGGTCGAGTATAAGATAGACTCTGACGCAGAAGTGTCAGTGGTCTCGCTGTATTTCCCAGATCAACCGTGGGTGCTAGATTCCGTTGAAGGGGAAGTCTAGGCCCTCGTGAACAGACTCCTCAAGTTCTCAGTACCTTCAAAGCAACTTTACAGTGGCGCAACAAAGCCATAGTGCAAACATTTTGTGTGGTTGACCGTCAGCGTACACACCTACTTGGGCTGCTTGCAATTGAAGCCCTTGGGGTCGTTCAGTTCGCAGATTGTGCCAAGGGCGTTAATTCCCCTAAAGCAAAAGTTTCCCAGGGACTAGGAAATTTTCGGCAAGCTGAATACCGCATATGCCTCAAACCCGGCGTCCATTCATTTTCCTTGAGTGTCTCACGGTGGATTTCAATTCCTTTAAACGACGTTGTCAAGAGTGAGCTGGAGAAACTGGAGTCGCAGGATGTCATACGGAAGGTAGAGACGCCAACGAAGTGGTCCCGAAGTGGTCCGAAGTGGTCGTGCACAAGTCATCTGGTGACTACAGGATTTGTGTTGACCTGACGAAGGATAATGCAGTAATTGAAAGGGATCTCGTCATATTGCCAACGGTGGAGCAGATTCTTGGCCAGTTTGATGGAGCACAGGTGTTCTCGAAGTTGCATGCACGGTCTAGCTTTCATCAGGTGAAGCTGAATGCAGACAGCCAAGAACTGACGACTTTTATCTCGCCATTTGGTCGGTACTGTTACAAGACACTCCCATTCGGTATTGTCACAGCACCTGAGTACTTCCAACGGTTAACGTCAAGAATTCTTAAGCGCTTGCCTGGAGTCGTGAATATGATTGACGACATTCTAATTTTCGGCAAAGATTGGCAGGAGCACGACGAGCGCCTGAATGCCGTCCTGACCCGCTTGGAAGAAGACGCTGTCACCCTCAACAAAAATAAGTGCGCGTTTCGAGTCACCTAAGTGAAGTTCCTGGGTGTAGTGTTTGGAGCAGACAGGATTTTACCAGACCCAGACAAGGTTAAAGCTGTCAAGGACCTGCCGCCACTGACCAACGTCAGTGGAGTACGATGGTTACTTCGTATGGCCAACCACATCGCCCGCTCCATACCTCATTTATCCGATGCCATAGAGCCCATTCGTTCCCTTTTGAACAAGAACAGCACCTTGACTTGGGTCCCAGTCAAGAAGTTGCCTTCTCACGACTGAAGTTGTTGCTGAGCTCCGACACGTGCATGACAAAATACGATTCCTGCTGCCACATAGTAGTATCCGCGGAGGCCAGTTCCTATGGCCTGGGTGTGGTACTCCTGCAAGACCAGCCTGAACGTAAACGACGGGCCGTTGCGTACGCTTCGAGAGTGCTTACTTCCACAGAAGTGCGCTATAGCCAGACGGAGAAGGAATGTCTCGCCATGACTTGGGCTGTATCACGATACGATCAGTGTTCTTTTTGGCCTCACCTTCGAAATAGAGACAAACCATCTTCCTTTGGTTACGCTTCTGGGTAACAAGAACCTAGAGCTCGTGTCACCTAGCATACAACGATTGCGGATAAAACCGATGCGCTATCAGTATGTGGGGAAATATGTGCCTGGGAAGTCCTTCTGCACGAAAGGAGGGCCCAACAAAACAAAAGTGTCTCTGCAGGTCACTCCGTTTTGAGAGGAAAGGGACAGGCTGAGTGTGCACGACAGCATCCTTCTGCTGGACCGACGACTTGTGATTCCATCAGCCTTGCACCTGGATATTTTTGCCCTATTACACAAAGGGCATCAGGAAGTGCGCCATTGCAAAGAACGGGGCAGTGAGACTGTTAGGTGACCTAACTGTAACATGCATGTGGATCACACGTTGTCGCATTGTGCTGTATGCGCCGAGACTAGAGTTCAGCACATCTAGCAGCTTCTCCGCCAGCCCTTCCCGAGAACTTGCAATCTGAAGCTCCGCAAGATCCCATGCAACCAGAAGTAACGCCACGGGAAACTGTGAAGCGGACTAGCAGTGGTCGTATAGTGAGGCTGCCCCGACGTTTGAACTTGTAAAGATCTTCCCCGTAAAATGTGAAAAGGAGGGATGTAAAGGGAAATGCCAGTGTAATTGTAGCATGTGGTCACAAGGAGTCATTTCTGTCCACCGAGTCTATGCGGCGAGACCAGAGTTCAGCACAACTAGCAGCTTCTCCGCCAACCCTTCCCGAGAACTTGCAATCTGAAGCTCCGTCGGTTCGGTGTGCTGAAGCACCAGCCGGTGCGCCATGGCCGTCGTGGGCTTGTGCGCTGGAGAGTTCGTGAAGGTCGTGCAACGTTGAGCAGGTCGGTTGGTGCAGAGGCAGTGTGCAACGAGAGGTTAGCTTTCCTTTATTTCTTTGTGTTTGTGAACACCATTATTATATTTTCTCTTTTATTCAATAACTTGCCTTGCGAGTACTGTAAGTGTGGGACACGGGCAACGTTGTAGTGACGTTGACCACGTGAACGGGCTAGGCGGCTGTTTTGAAGAAGGTCGGGGCGCCCGGTTAGTTGTTAAAGAGCTAGAGCCGAACACGAAGGGGACCTAGTGAGAGGCTACTAGCGAAATTTAACACGTATGTGTGCGGTGTAGGCGGCAGCTTCAAACAGTTGTTGAGGTAAAAGAGTTAACGGAGGTGGCTGGATTAGGGTTGAACGTAGGCCTGTCGGGCACTCGGTCGAATGGTTGGGTGGGCGATGGCTAAGGAGGCTAGGAAGACCACGAGTGAGAGTGAGCTGGTGCAGTGCGAAAAATGCAAGCACTGGTGCTACTTAGATGAGACAGCATTCATGAGTTTGGCCGACGCGCCGAAGGCGAGCTTCGTGTGCAGACTGTGCGAGGCACTGAAGGCGGCCGTGCAGCGCATGGAGGCTAGCATCAAGGGGCTTCAGGGGGAGGTTAGGGCGGAACGGGAGCAGAGGATAGAACTCCAAAAAGAGCTCAGAGCGTCGCGTGAGCGGGAGGAGGCTACCGCCAGCCCATTAGAGCAAATGAAGGGCGGCCTTCGAAAAGAACGGGAAGGGCAGACCGAGCTAGAGCAGGGGGTAAAGGAGCTAATGGCGCTTTGCCCCGGCCCCGAGCGGGGTGAGACGGAAGGCGTGGGTAGCGGAGAAGGCGACAGGCGGGAAGGAAAAGGCGAGAAGGGAGGTCAGGGGCCCGCAGTGTCTGGCCACAGCACGGAGGCTCCGAGAACATACAGCTCGGTGGCGCAGCAGTTGTCAAGCAGGGCATAACCACAGGACAGACGGCAGAGAGAGAAACAGGTGAAGCAAACAGGGGCGCCATCACAAACAGGAAGCCAGCAATTGGAGCGTAGAAGGGTCCTAGTGGTGGGGGATTCTAACGTGACCAAGGTTAGAGATGGCGTCTTCAAGACAGTGAAGGAAGATGGGAGAGTCAGGGTGGAGGCACAGTCGGGGAAGAGCATGGTGGATGCACTGGCAAAAGCTCAGGAGGTTGTAGAAAACAGCATGGAGGGCGAAAATCTGGTCATTATTCATACTGGGCTAAATGATGTGTTGAAGGGCAAGGATCAGAACCTTCAGAGAAAGCTAGAGGATGAGATGCGTAAGCTCCGTAAAGCCTCTGGGAGTGTGCATGTGACCATATGCACAGTCCCAGAGGTCGGGGGGCAGCCTCGTGTGATTGGAAGGAGGGTAGTGGAGGCCAATTGTGTGATCAAAGGTTTGAGCCGGCAACTCGGATACAGCGTAATCGACGTTTACCAAGACGTGTACGAGCCCGGCGCTCGCCCCTTTGCACAGGATGGCATTCACTACAGTGGTGCGACGGGCAGGAGGGTCGGTAACAGAATGGGTCGCCAAGCCATAGCTTTTTTAGGGAGACGCCGAGCCCTGAGGCCAACAGTGGAGCCAAAGACGGACCTAAAGGGGCACAAATATTTAAGCCACACGAAGACCGCGAGAGAAGAAATCGACGTAAGCACAAGGGCCGAGCTAAATCAGACGTAGGCTATATTAACATGCAGGGTGGCAGGAATATGTTAAAGTGGGAAGAGATAGAAGAGCAGTTGAGGCAAGAGGAGCTGATAGTATATGGGGTTGTGAAGAGACATCTTCGGGACCTGGAGCAACCACCCTGCAATCCGGACTACGTATAGGAATGTTGCAATAGAACAGAAGGCAGCAAAAAGGGGAATGGAATTGGTGCATTTATACGTAAGAGCATGGGTCGGCAAAGAGTCAAGCAAGGATGCAAGGAACATTTATGGCTAAAATGGAAAGTGGCAGGGCAAATGACACTACTTGGTTTTGTGTACTTGTGGACGGGAGCAAAGGCCAGAGAAGAAAGCCAGGCAATGGTAGAGTGTACATCAAATGACATTCAGGAGTTAGGAGGAGAGTGCGAGATAATTATACTAGGAGATATGAATGCATACATAGCAGATATAGATGGGTATACTGACTCAACAGGCAAAATGATCATGGATATGTGTGAAAGGCATGATTTGATCATTTGCAACAGTACCGAGAAGTGTGAAGGGCAAATAACATGGGAGGAAGGAAGGCTGCAGTCAACGATAGATTACGCATTGATGTCACATGGGATGTATGATAAGCTCAGGGGAATGCACATAGATGAAGGTGGCTCCAGAAGTCTGGGTAGTGATCACAAACGCATCAAGCTAAGTTTTGGAAGAGCAGCGAAAGTGGGAAGGAGACAAGATGAGCAACTACAGGGAAAAAATTTTCATTCAGAAAGGCAAAAATAAATTGCTACTAAACAAATTGAGAAAGCATTCACTGAGGATAATAAAAATGTGTGGACATACACAAATCTGATTAGACTGTTTGGGCTAGAGCTTGCTCAGGCACGTGACAAGTCACCTCGGAAAAGAAGACACAAGCCCAAGAGTTGGTGGAATGAGGAAGTTAAGAGAGCCATAGCAAAACGTCAGGAAGCCTCTAGGAAACACAGACATGCTAAGCAACGGGGTGAACCGACAGATGATGTAGAAAGAAAGTGGGAAATATTTCTAAGCTCTAGAAGGGCAGCATCCCTCCTGATCAATGAAAAGATTAGAAGAAAGGGGGCTCAGTGGCTTGGAGAAGTACATAAAAAGTACAGAAAGGCAGCTGCGAAATTTTGGAACCATCTCAACTCCCTAAGAAATGAAACAAACCTAGAGCAGAGGTTTATAACTACAGCTCAAGGTGCTAGGCTAGAATGAGACGAAGATATTGAATATATAAGAACAGGGGTGACAGAAAATTTTCAACAAAGAAGTGCATTATGCACCACAATAGACAGGGATGGATCAAGTGGCGCAATGGCTCCATTTTCACAACGAGAGTGGGAAAGGGCTGAGAAGATGGTTCCAAGTAGTACATCAACAGGCCCACGTGGCATTCCAATTATGCTGATAAAGACATTGGGTTCGAAGTCTAAACAGACTTTGAGAAATGCAGCCAGAAGAACATTATTCGATAGGGAATTCCCTGATGGATGGAAACTTAGCAGGATGAGCATGATCTATAAAGGAAAGGGGGACAAAGATGACACAAACAACTTCCGTCCTATAACAGTGACATCAGTGGTCTAGAGGCTGGCGATGCAGATTATAAAGGAAAGACTGCAGGCATGGATAGAGTATGATGGGGTGCTGGGGCAACTAAAGAATGGGTTTCGGAAACACAGGAGGTTGGAAGAGACAATCTGTTCTCACTGACGCAGTTCATCGAAATCGCAGAAAAGGAACTCAGGCCCCTGCGGCTAGCATTTTTGGATATCAAGGGAGCGTATAATAGCGTGGTTGAAGAGGATTTGTGGGGAATACTAGACACACTGGGTGTGCAAGATGGAGTCACTAATCTTTTAAAGGAAATCTATAAAAGTAACAAGGTAGTTATAAAGTGGGAAAAACAGGTATCCAAGCCCACAGAGGTGAAACGGAGACTTAGGTAGGGGTGTCCCCTGTCACCCTTGTTATTCATGATGTACCTACAAGGATTAGAGGCCAAATTAGAGGGAAGTGTACTTGGCTTCAACCTCTTTTTAGTCAAACAAGGAAAACTCATTGATCAGGCACTACCAGCATTAATTTACGCAGATGATATAGTGCTAACGGCCGAAAACAAGGAAGATTTGCAGAGATTGATGGACATCTGCGGTAATGAGGGAGATAGGTTAGATTTTAGGTTCAGTAAAAAAATCAACAGTTATGATTTTTTATTATAACGAAGGTAGTGATCGAGCTTTGAATACAGGAGGTCACGCTAGAGATAACAGATAAATACAAATATCTGGGCGTATGGATAAGCAATGGGCCCGAGTACCTAAGGTAACACGAAATATACGTGACGACTATAGGTAACAGGAATGCAGCAGTGATGAAAAATAGGACACTGTGGAATTACAATAGGTATGACGTTGTGAAAGGAATATGGAAAGTGGTCATGGTTCTTGGGCTGACGTTCGGCAATGAGGTCTTGTGCATGAGACCAGAAGTTCAAGCAAGATTAGAAATTAAGCAATGTAGAATTGGTAGGCTTGATTTAGGAGCTCACGGGAATACACCAAATCAGGGAGTACAAGGTGATATGGGATGGACATCATTTGAGGGCAGGGAAGCTAGCAGCAAGATAAAATTTGAGAAGCGATTGAGAGAAATGGGGGAGGAGCGTTGGGCTAGGAAGGTTTTCAGCTACTTGCACATGAAGAATGTCGATACAAAATGCAGGAAGCGAACCAGTAAGTTGACTGGTAAGTACTTAGAAAACAGCAGGTGGCCAAACCAAAAAGAACTATCGGTTAGGAAGAAAGTGAAGGAAACGGAGACTGACATGTGGAGAATGGGCATGATAAAGAAGTCCGCACTAGAGATCTATCGAACTTTTAAGCAGGAAATTGCCAAGAAAAGAATCTATGATAACACTCGGGGTAGTTCTCTACTGCTTGAGGCCAGGACGCGAGTATTGCGAACCAAGACATATCGGGCCAAATAAGAAGAGGTAGATACAGCATGCAGTGCGTGTGGAGAGGAAGAAGAAACTGCCGAATACTTGATAATGTTCTGTAAAGGGTTTCACCCTATAGTTCAGGATGATGGCGCAGAGTTTTTCAAAGCACCGGGGTTTAGGAACAGGGAGGGATAAATAGACTTTAAGCGGGTAGACTTAACTAGAAGGAGGTCATCTGATTGGTGGCTAAAGTCAAGGCACGAGTGAAAATTAAACCATTCACTGCAAAGTACGAATCTTCAACCTCACTATTTAAAGGGAAAAAAAATATAAATCTAATGGTTAGTTAACTAAGTATTACGGCTAGGTGGCAGTAGCCGCTGCCCAATCTAAAGGGTACAGCTACATTCATCCATCCATCCAACCATCCATAACGGTCTTCGTACTTGGCCTTTAAAATCGGCAATTTTGGCGTTTGCTTCTAATTTCAGAGGATGCTTTGTATTAAAAAAAGTTGTTTGTTGAATGACTGTGTCACTTACGTAGGGTTGAATATATGATTACGTTTACGCCTTTTAAAAAAAAAATACGTTATTTTTGTTGCATATAAGCTCCGAAAACGAAAAAATCTATTTGTAGACACCCCTACTTGAGTGGCGCCATCACCATAGTTCCGACGACCGCCACTTCCCAAGTGAACGCTGATAATCCGGCAGGCACGAGAAATCTAGGAGGCGTTGGTACTGTTGCACTGACTTGCAGAGATTGGTGGACATCTGCGGTAATGAGGGAGATAGGTTAGATTTCATATTCAGTAAAAAAAATCAGCACTCATTATTTTTAATGATAACGAAGCTAGTGTGCTTAGAATACAGGAGGTCACGCTAGAGATAACAGATAAATACAAATATCTGGGCGTATGGATAAGCAGTGGGACGGAGTACCTAAGGGAACGCTAAATATACGTGACGACTAAAGGTAACAGGAATGGAGCACTAATGAAAAATAGGGCACTGTGGAATTAGAATAGGTGTGACGTTGTGAAAGGAATATGGAAAGTGGTCATGGTTCTTGGGCTGACGTTCGGCAATGCGGTCTTGTGCATGAGATCAGAAGTTTAAGCAAGATTAAAAATTAAGCAACTTGGAATAGGTAAGCTTGCTTTAGGAGTTACGGGAATGCACTAAATCAGGGACAACAAGGTGATACGGGATGGACATCACTTGAGGGCAGGGAAGCTAGCAGCAAAATAAAATTTGAGAACCGATTGAGAGAAATGGGGGAGAAGTGTTGAGCTACAGTTCTTTTAGTTCACTGAAGTTGAGCTAGGAAGGTTTTCAGCTACTTGTACATAAAGAATGTCGATACAAAATGGAGGAAGCGAACCAGGAAATTGACTGGTAAATACTTAGAAAACCGCAGGTGGCCAAACCAAAAAGAACTATCGGTTAAGAAGAAAGTGAAGGAAACGGAGACGGACATGTGGAGATTGGGCATGATTAAGAAGTCCGCACTAGAGATCTATCGAACTTTTAAGCAGGAAATTGCCAAAGAAAGGATCTATGATTATACTCGGGGTAGTTCTCTACTGTTTGAGGCCAGGACGGGAGTATTGCGAACCAAGACATATCGGGCCAAATACGAAGGTGTAGACCAAGGAGGATACATAAAACTTGCTGGAGTGGAAGCCGCCTATGCGCCGCTACGGGAGAGAGTGAAGCCGCGCCGAGCGTGCGGCGGCCATGTTGCCAGTGGCAGAAAAGAGCCGAGTCAGGAATCGCTGCCTACCGCTGATCCCAGGAGCCATGCTCTCTTGTTCCTGCCGACGGCCTGCTGCTCGCGCTGAAGCGGACCGGACATCCCTCCTTACACACCAAACACTATTTCTCCAATCCTCTTTCATCCCCCTCCACCCCACCCCAAAGGCACTGTGCCGTGTCACCTGTAGGCAGACAGAAATTAGGTGCCTTCTTCCTTTTCCTCATGAACCACTAACAACAACAAGAGCCGAGCGCTGCAAATTTATGCTTCATCGCGCTGCGGGTGAAGTGACTCATGTTTTTATAAAGCAACGAAAACAAGTAATTCTGGTTGTAAATGTTTATTGCGACTTGTACGCGGCCAAGTGGCATGTAGAGAACTCAATTAAAGTGCGCATGCATCAAATAGCGGTGCCTAAAGCAAACACATCATCGAAAACATAGGTGCCCTACTGGTGGTTGAAAATTATTGCCCTTGTCAAAAGTGGTCCCACCTTACTTTTGACCGATTCTCGGTTTTTTTTTTTCTTCGTCAAGTGCTGTATCCTCACTTTTACGTATTGTTCGGCGATTTGCCTGCACAAACTGTAAACCTAATTATCAAGCGTATCAAAGCCTAGGACGTGCTGCTCTAGTTTATGGAACCAGTTTTTCTCGGAGGAAGCTCGTAGAACTTTCAGGATGAGGTGTTTTCCTCTTGACTTCACCGTTGTGATGGAATCGCATTCAGCCGGTAGCCGCCTCAGTCCTTGACTTCTTTACAGAGGCTAATGACATCTCGCGACAGTGAAACAAGAACACCTTGCCTTTTACATTTAAATAAAGGTGTCAGCTCATCTGAGTGCATGGCTGCTATGCACTCTTCACAGGCAGTTGCAGTTCGACCTTTCGAAAAATGAAGCCTTCTATGTGTGGCACAACGGAACCGACATAAGCAGAAAAGCTTTCGGGCTAGTCAATGCGATGCGTATTGTCGTGGTCATCGGGCTGCATGACTGGGGCCTTGCGCATGTCATTGAGATTGCTTCTTGGATCTACCATGGCTGCAGGAGTGATTGCATTCAATACAGAGAGAACATCTTGGGAGCAGTGTCCAGAACTTGAAGACATGACTTCCGTCTGAACTAATAGACACTTGTATGCAGCCATAAACTGTGAAGCTGTTGGGTTGTTGTTATGGCCGCCTCGTCCACGTATTGATTCAAAGAAGTTTTCGGCATAGTCTAGACTGAGTTTGTGTGTCAGTAAGTATTTCAGCTGACCCTGGCTGACAAGTCTGCCAAACATTATTTCCGTGCTTGCCATGCGTATCCAAAAACCAATGAATCCGTTTTTGTTTTTTTTTCAGTCCTTCTGTCACTGCCGGATCTCTCAGCCCGTTTATGTACGCTCGAGTCTCCGCAAAAAACGACTTCCAGAATGTTTCGTTCCCCTGCCGAAGGGGCGCTTTGTACGACCTTGCCAGCGGGTTCCTGGAGTTTAAGATGTCAAACAAGCGATCAAAAATTTTAATAAACGTAGATCTTGTGCTAGCACCCTTGAATTGCGGCAGCTGTAACTTTTGTTCGCAGAAGTCCAAAGCGTCGGCAACTGAGGCACTCGATCAGTTGTACAGCATATCATAACTTCATTTTCTTGCTTTTCCCATTGGACGTGGACTTTCGTAAGCTTGTTTCCGAGCCACAACCCTTCTTCACGTTGAAGTGCCTTCAATGCCACTTCATAACCCCATTTCACATGCTTCCCTTCAATGTCAAAGAGGTGGTCAAAGCACTCTGGCGCGAAGTTCACATAGTGAAGTAATCTCAGTCTTTCACATTCTACTTCTCACGGCGAACGGCCCACTCCCAGAGGCTCCGCGTTACGGGATCTTCAGGAAACCTGTAAAACAAATCCGGACTGTTATGTTTTGCACGCTTAGATCGCGTCAGCTATAGCTCCCTTTAGTAACGAGCGCGGAATGGCTATGTTGAAGACGTTTTCATGTACTTACAGGTGGAATGTGAGGCCACAACCTTTTTTTCAATTTGTTGGCACATCCGTAAACGACGCAAGAGACAACCATTGTAAACCATTTGTCTTTACATGCCGACAAGGTGAAACAAGAACGGACGAAATCAGCAGCTCGCGATGGCGCTGAGCACGTTTTTTGCCACTGGCAAGATGGCGGCGGCTGGCTTCATTCGCACAGCGCCCCTTCCACTCTAGCAAGTTTTATGTATCCTCCTTGGTGTAGACACAGTATGCAGTGCGTGTGGAGAGGAGGAAGAAACTGCTGAACACTTGATAATGTTCTGTAAAGGGTTTCACCCTATAGTTCAGGGTGATGGCGTACATTTTTTCAAAGCACTGAGGTTTAGGGACAGGGAGGGCAAAATAGACTATAACAGGGTAGACCTAACTAGAAGGAGGTCATCTGATTGGCGGCTAAAGTCAAAGCACGAGTGAAAGTTAAACCCTTCACTGCAAAGTACGAATTCTCAACCTCACTATTTAAAGGAAAAAAAAGATAAATCTAATGGTTAGTTCACTAAGTATAACGGCTAGGTAGCGTTAGCCGCCGCCCGATCTATAGGGTGCAGCCACATCCATCCATCCATCCATCGACTGTAGCACCGTGGGCTGTAGCGACCACGGGGTAGCGACTGTAGCCACAGAACACCTACCAGCTGAAGAAGTGTATAGGTGTCCTGGGCTTCAGTCACAGAACACCTTCAGTAGGTGCCGCTTGCCGCTCATCGAACGACCCAGCCCACCAAGACAACTCAGCCCGGCGCTGACATCGAATGTTCTACGGGCGAAAAACATTGCCGCGAAGGGATGACATCGCTACTTAGAGGTAAAATTGAGAGCTTTTTCTAGTCAATGTGTGTTAGTGACTCCGTCCCGGATGCAAAGCGATAAGATACGTCGAGAGGTAGCGGTGGGCACTCGAGAACGCCGCAGTGCTTGCGCGAAGACATCGCGAGCTCTTCTTCGTGCTTCCAGGTGTAGAAGAATGTTCGTTGATTAGAATGCCGTGTTATTAGGCTGTGCGTGGCACGCTCCCTGTAGCGTCGGGAAGAGAGCTAAACATTGTTTACTTCTCCAATGTTTCTCTGAAAGTACGTGTCAAGTCACTTGCAGTCCAAAAGTGGGCCAAGAGAGACTGGATAGCGAGGCGGTAGTTAACTCTTAATGTACGTGGTAACCAACCCATAGCATTAATGTGGCACCTAACAAAGAAATATAACAACTATGCGGCATTTTTCTGGGCGTACCACCCAGAAAGGCGTCGAGGGTCGTTTTCTTGTCCTAATCAGACAGCTTTTCCTCATCTGCGTATATTCTGATTGTATGCACGCTGTCTGCTGAATATTAGAAATGTCTATACCATTTGACCATTTTTTAATGTGGGCAAAGCTCGGCAATGTGAAGCTGCCACAAGCATATAGGAACATATGAACGATTCCTTTATACGTAGTGCTGAAATGCTCTGTGCTCCTGGTCTCTCTTTTCAGCTGAGCCTCTGACCCGCAGGTTGTGGGATTAAATCCCGGCTGCGGCGGCTGCATTTCCGATGGAGGCAAGAATGTTGTAGGCCCGTGTGCTCAGAATAGGGTGCACGTGAAAAAACCCCAGGTGGTCGAAATTTCTGGAGCCCTCCACTACGGCCTCTCATATGGTAGTTTTGGGACGTTAAACCCCGCATATCAATCAATATCAGCTGAGCCTCGACGAGGGCTGACATCTTTTTAAGTGCTGCACTCTCACGAATGAGGCAATACAATGAATGTAAAATGCTGCTCAGGGGACCGCATGAATACAGCATTTAACAATGTGCTGTGCGGTAGGCTACCCAGGTAATGCCCTGTCTTGTCCCCCCCCCCCCCCCCCCCGGTTTTCCATCGCATTGTAAACTTGCAACTGGCAGTGGTCACATCACTCTCACTAGCTTTAGCCCGGTCAGCCTACCCCTAATGTTTCTTGTACTGTGGTAGATGAAGGAAGTGCTTAACAGTGCAAACGACAGGGGGGGGATAGAAGAGGGGAGAACAGAGTGCGGAACAACAAAAGTTTATTGCAAGCCAACTGCAATATATAGCAAAACAGAATCTGCGCAAAACCACGCAACATAAGCAGAATTGCACATACATGCACCATACGGCATACCTTATCAAGAACCGGACCCAGATAACTAATTTAACAGCCATGAACAAAAATTGAGGGTATGCTAACACACGAAGTACCAAGTTGTTGAATACGGGAGGCTTTGCTAATCTCGCGCTTTCACTGTTTGGCCAATGTAACAGAGCCCACAAGTAAACAATATCTTGTATACAATAGCTAAAACACATTCAACATAGCGCGTAGCGAGTTTCTTAGTGCATGCTTCTTTAAGTCCTTCGCTGTTGACCCTGCAGCATAGCCCTGCGAGCTTGTCGCATGATCAGAGCAGAACTCTTACACCTATTATGCCAGCCACCTTCATTGGCTATGAGAAACCTCGTGTACGTAGGGAATAACAGCCGTGCTAGAATGAGGCCTGTTGAGTTGGTTCTTGCTTTGTTTCTTATCAGGTACTCTTAGTGACGCTAGGAAAGTCTCAGCGATGGAAGTTAGCAGAGGATTAGAAAAGCCTGCTTGTTGAAGGCCGTGAACTTAAAGCGAAAAACTGCGTTTTATCCGGTGGTGACAAGAGCGAGTTAGAGCTGCCTGGCTGATAGTACTTACAAAAAAAAAACTTCATAACGTCAAACTATAGGTGCGTGCAAGCCCTCGTAAGTGAGCGCCTTCAGCACTATAATTTGTCTCCTACCTTGCAAGTCGCATGTGAGCCGTTGAGGTGAATCTGAAAGATATAAATGCATGAGTGTGCAAAATTATGTAAAATGAATTCTGTAAATGAAGTCATAGGTTTAATGTGCACTGGAAATCCTTTTACTAGCATTTCAGCAGTGTGGAGGTGTTATAACAAAGCATTGTAAAAGGGCTTTTGTCAGTGTGATCACTTGTTCCTGAGGGTTGTTTTTCCTTCAGAAATGAACATAGGCTCTGCTAGCAAGGCTGTGAAAGGCATAAAAAAGACTAAATATAACTTTCAGTGCACAAGGAGACCTCCGTGTAGCATTTCCTAAGCACACTTTCTCCACCACTGCAATGCGACTGGTGTGTGGACAATAAAGCTGCGAGAGGGGTGAATAAAAAACAAAACAATAGAACTCCTACTCCTAAAAAACGGGTCACATTTACTAGACAGACCTCCCTTCCCACTTCGATGCAGCTGAGTCGTGGTAGACAAGGCTACAAGAGAGATGAAAAAGTGAGTGAATACAACTACTGCTGCCAGAAAATCTCCACAGATTTGATAAATGTGCTATCCTTGCTACTTTGATGCAGCTGTGGTGTCAGTGGAAAAGATGTAAGAAGAATGAAAAAGACTAAATATAGGTGCTGGGTCATAGAAAATTTAGTGAACAGACTCTCCGTACCACTTTGATGCAGCTGAAGCATGGATGACAAGGCTGTAAGAGGGATGGAAAAAAAGATAGAACTACTTCTAAAAATACCAGGTCACATTTAAGACCTCCCTTACCAGTTTGATGCAGCTGAGACATGGACGACAAGGCTATGAGAAAGATGAAAGAGAATGTAACTCGTACTTTAAAAAATCTAGGTAGTGTTTAAGAAAGACCTCTCGAACTGCTTTGATACAGCTGAGGTGTAGACAACAAGGCTGTGAGAGGGAAAAAAAAAGCAACTGAATATAGCCTCTGTGGCTAAAAATTCCACAGAATTTGATAAACAAACTGCTCTCACCACTTTGATAAAGCTATGATGTCGGTAACAGTCGTGAAAAGAACGGAAAGGACTAAATATAAGTCCGGGTGTATGAAAAAGGCCACACAACATTTAGTAAAGAGATTCTCCTTACCACTTTGATGCTGCTGAGATGTAGTCAAGCCTGTGAGAGAGATGAAAAAGTGAATGAATATAACTTTTGCTGCTCAAAAATCGCTGAATTTACTAGGCGACCCTCTTTGCCACTTCGATGCAGCTGGGGCGTAAACAACAG